CCCCCCCCCCATATTTTCATTGTAGTCGCATATCATTTTTGGTTTGGTAGTTTGCTTGTCACCTCTTTTGTTGGTAATAACCTCACTATCATTTCCATGCATGGAAGACACAGCAAACACATCTCTTTTATCTTTACAGTGAGTAACGACTAAATTGTCACAACGCCAAAATTTTGCTTCACCAGTTCCCAATTGTTCTTTCAGTGGCGGGGGTAATTTTTCCTGTTTGATCTCAGTGTACCACAGGCATATGTAAGTCTCTGTAGTAATTCATAGACCAATTGTACAGAAGTGTAGAAGTTATCGATGAAAAGTCTATAACCTTTGTCGAGGTAGTTCTTCATGAGATCAAACACAACTCTGTATGACAGTCGTAATTCAGGTTTGGCAGCATCTTCCCTACCAGTGTATACTTGAAATGCACAGCAGTAACCTGTCTTAGCCTCATACAAAGCCCATAATTTTATGCCAAATCGTTTGGGCTTTTTTGGCATATATTGAGTAAACGACACCCAACATTTAGTTCCAAGAAGCATTTCGTCAATGTTTATACATTCTGGGATGGCACGTACAAACTTCCAAATGTTTCTGTCAAACAGGATATGGTTGGGATCACTTGGTACAGTTTATAGTACTTGTGATTTTTATCTGGTCTTTTTGTGTTGTCTCTCAAATGGAAATACCTTCTTAGTGCTCTGAATCTTGTACGAGAAAATATTGACGAGGCCCAAGGCATATGTGATATTCCATTTCTCTTCCAATAGTCGTCAAGTTTTGGCAGTTTGTACAACTCCATAGCAATAATAACTCCGATATATGCTAAAATTTCTTCAGCACAAACTGGTGTAAAGTTGCCATTGCCATCAGGATACTTTTGATCATGATACAAGTTTGTTTGTTTTACTAGCTCATTCACTAGGTTCATACTAAAAAAAGCCAAAAAGTACTCGATAGGTTCAGTCAATCCAACTAACCTTCGTGTAGGACCAGCCTTCTCCGAAAATGGTTTATCAGCATTTGGATTTTGGTGTCTACCAGTAGCAGGTATCCACTTGAAGTGACTTTCCTCAGCATTCCCTTGAGCTTGCGTACCATTGGCATTCGCACCACGTCTACATCCATGCAGTAGCCTTTCCACGTCCAGTAGCCTTTCCACGCCCGCGTACAGTGGGTCCGACGTATTGGGCCTGGGTTCGTTATCACTAGTAGCAGTGATGTCACTGTTGCAAGATTCCTACAAATTTGAAAATGATTACATATCAAACAAAAGGTTACGAAACGAAAATATGGCGGATGCTCTTTATTTCTATCATCATCATCATCACATGCCCTTATCATCAGGGAATTTCTAGACACAACTTTTAGCGTTGTCATCAGCCAATTTACTGATATCTAGAAAGAATACTTCTCCTAGATTTCAATGAGCGTGAATAATATATCATAGTATGCATATCTTTATTTCAAAATTTACTACATTTTATATTGGAAATTTACTTCAATAAATCAATAACGTTATAATAATACAGAAAATTAGATCAAGAGGAAGTCGTGTGCTTCAAACTGATATGCGCAGTATGATTTTAGCATCTATACTTTCGCTACAGGGAGCCCAAGTATCATATGGGTCAAATTTGACCCCATCGGCGCCCTAAGGGTAGACGTCAAACTTACGTCACTATTGGTCACGCCAACAGTGATTTCTCCTAAAAGAAAACTGCTAGGAGTCTGAAATATTCTAAGTGATATATGTAGTACAAAAGCTGTGCAATGACGTATTATTTTGCAGATACAACAACATGTTGTCCAAAGGCTCTAAATATTGTTTGGGGTAGTCAAACCTGAAAATACTATATTATTGCACAGCTAATACTTGTATGAATTCACGGTGAAAATTCCATGCTTATATGTAACATACTTCTCAAGATATTGCAAATGTTGGCTCTTGGAACATTCAAATTCTCAAAAATGAGAAAAAAAACACTCTGAAGTTTGATTTAAATTTTAAACTTGAACCAAAGTTCATGTTTCCAAGTAGAAAGCACCAGCCTCATACTGGGGTCCCTCTTTAGCTTCCTTGGTTTAATTATACCCCTTTCTCTTTTTCTAATTTTTCTGTGGCGCTTTTTGGATGCACCAGAGCTCTTTCGGCACAAGTGGCTTTGGTAGAATAGATTCCAGGGTCAACACCAAGATTTTCCAAAACAGATAAAATTGTTCTGAATCCATCATTGAAGTGACCCACTGCAAGATAGGTAGCCAATTCAACAGTAGGAAGACTGGAATGGGTCTCCTTGGTAGCACTCTGCCAAATCAGTGCATTGATTGCTTCGTTTTGGTTTTGTGTACGACCATGGACGCAACCGAAGGGCAATTCCTCTGCAGTGAGAGCTTTGAACACTGGGTAAATGGCAGATACCACAGCTTTAGGAAGAAGTTTTGTGGGAGAGTAGGTGGTTGTTTTCTTTGCAACATGTTTTTGGAAACCACACCAGGAATCTTCACCAACAGGACACCGACCGTGATCACCTGTAGACTGCATGTCGTACCAGATAGCCCAAATAGAATCTTGCATTGCCTTTACCGAGTGGCTTTACCATAATAAACCTGTATACTGTGAATAACATTGTCTGTCAGTCTCCCTCGTCCTCCAATTGCCTTACCATCATCAAGATGCGTCTTAACAGAGCGTTTCGTCAGTGATCGAAGTCGTGATGCCATATACAGAGCCTGAAATAACGGCCGGCGGTTTTCCGACCAAATGCTGAAATGATCGGAAATTTTGTCCGGCCAAATTTTGAGAAAAATAAAAATGTTTTCTTAATGATCGGTCGGCACTCAACACAGTGAGTACCATGACTACCATCTGTAAGTTTGGATTATCTATATTAGGCTAATATAAAGTAATCAACTGGAAAGTATAGTTCACGGGCCCAATAAACAAGATGGCGGCTTACAGCGTGGTCAGCGTGGTGTTGTCGGGTCAAGATAAAAACAGCGTCGGCGGGCGTGATTAAATTATTATTCACTATCACTATTCCAATAAGCAATTCAGAATTAAACATTTGTCTTTTATTATTGCAAGTAGAGTGATTTACTCGGTGCACGTCTGTATACTTGACAGAGTTTGCTCGTTGGGGGGGGGGGGTGGACTTGGTCAAACTAAACTAAAAAAATTCCGGTCAATTTTGCAAATTTCCGGTCAAATTTCGTTTTGATCGGAAGTTTTTCCGGACAAATTTTAAAATTATTTCAGGCTCTGCATATACGCTTTTGAACATGACCGACACATTCAAGTTTGGATATCTTCACACCCTTGTATACTTCTTTTTCTGTTACACGATTGAATGCTTTGCTGTCCCCATCCCCAAGAAACTCAATATAACGCAAGCCATACTGCTCAACGGAACGATAAAAAATAGCAACACAACCAGCAGCATCCATTGCTCCTGATGACCCTTCAAAATTTGAATGACATTGATGTTGACGTCTTTCCCACCACTCCTGAAACTTCTATGTCCCCTTCTTTTTTTCTCCGTGAAATGCATTCTCTGCACTCTTTTGACATGACTTCGACATGACGAAAATCCTCTTCGTGTTCATGTCCCGTCAGCTGAAATACCAATATTATAGTTCCCATCCTCTTCCACTTCGTAAAATTGTTTGGTTTCTTGACGTGCATGATTCATGCTCTCTTTACAAACTACTTCAGCAGCAGCGTGGATGGCAACAACATGATCTCGGTATGCATTCTCATTCATGGGTGGTGGCATGTTCATTGTGGCAGCAAATTTTGAAAGTCCTCTGTGACCAATACCAATGTTTCTTCCAGCCAACACAGCTCTGCGATTTACCACAAAAGCTTTACCATTATGAACAGTTCCTGATGTATAAAAGCTCCTTGAGTAATTACAATTCTGAGCTGAACATTCTAGAATCAACTGCGAAGCAAATCCCTTTGTGGGTTTTAGAGCCTTATCCCTCATATATCCACACCAACTATCCTTACCAGGAGGACAATATGTAGAGTGCCAAGGATGCTTATCATTTGAGGCACAGTGGAAAAGCATTGTTGCAAGGACATTGTTCTTCACGGCCTCAAGATTTCCAGTGTTATTTCTTATGGCAATTCCATAGTAATTCTGCATCTTGTCAGTCGCGTTGTCAGGCAACTTTTACTTTCCACCTAACCTTTTTTTTCTTTTCAGTTTTCTCAATGCTGTGTCAAGACGTTTTTGAACATGCCCGATACATTCCTTCTTCTTGACCACAGCGTCATATTCTTCGTTGTAAATATTTTCAACTGCACTATTTAAAGCTCTTACTATCTCTCATCTAAAATTTTACCAGTCTCCACGGAGATTGCTGTGACACAACCATTTAACGAAGAGAGTCCCCGTCTTTGCTATGTACCGTCACATGAAATAGCTGTTTTTAGAACTCCATTCTCATCAACCTCATCATTTTTTATATTGTGGAGTTCTTGAACGCATCTTTTGTGGTTCATTCAGCTACGCCCTTGGTAGCACGCAAGATCGCTTTTGTGTGGTATGGGGCATGTCCATGGTTGAGCAGAGCTTTTTCATCCCAGATAATCCACAACCAATAGACCTCATTCCATAAATCATTCTCCTGTTTACTTCAAAACAATGACCAACTTTTTTTGCAGTGTAGAACTCTTCAGAGTGGCCACACGAGCTACAGTGAAGAGAAAGACACGAAGCACTACATTCACTCCTCGAAGGAGCACTTGCTTTATGCACTTCCTATGTGTGACATTTTCTGTATTTTGTCTTCAATATCTTGTGATTTCACTCCCTGTATACTTAATATATTTTTGCCTTGATACCATTTGATTTTAATGGCTCCGTCCCCAGTAATATAGTTATTGCCGTTCGTAAAAGATTTAACGCCACCACCAAGAGAAGTCCATTTTCCCGTTAGATTTAGCTCGTTGGCAACAAAAGTTGCGACGTGCGAAGTGAAGTTGAAGAAAGAAAGGTGAAAAAAAAAGAATGGTTATTCCAGTTACATTGTTCTACAGTGTAAAAGTATGGTGTGTGAGTGGAAGTATTGTTTCAATACGTCAAAGAAACAAGGTCATCCATACGAAGTTAATAATCGAGCAGTCCTGGCTTTCCGAGAAATGGGACGAGGACACAATGCCACGATCACCTTCAGCAAGATTATGAATATGCCTTCTCCACCAACATGAAGTTGCGGCGTGTTGGTGGAGTAGGCATATTCATAATCTTGCTGAAGGTGATCGTGGCATTGTGTCCTCGTCCCATTTCTACCCGACTTTCTGGTGGTTCCACGCTCAATCAGTGCTTGTGCAACCTTGGACTGGAATTGGCACAGCTTCATCACACTCTTGCCTGTGATTCCCAGTAGGGAACAGTCACGTTTGTACAGGAGCCATGCATTGATTACGCCAATACTGGTAAAATGCCAGAAGAGTATAAGGTACCATCTCCGCGTACGAATGGAATACTTACATATCCACACCACCCATGCGAGTATTGTATTCTCTGATGATGTATGGGCGGTCAACGTTGGTGTAGTCTTTCTTGCTCTTGTCCCAGCGACGGGCTTTGTCCATAGGTTCAGGACCAGCATAGTTTGACATGAGGGTTACTGCTTTGGAATCCTGCCATCTAACACACACGGTATTGGTCTTTGATTCTACTCTAAAATCATGTGATCCTCGTCCTTTCTTCAGGGCATTTTCCTCCAAGACATTGCACTTTGCGAGACAGTTCTTTCTCACTGTCCCAGCGTAAAGGAATCCGTCTTCTGACAATTTCTGTATCAGTTCAACTGAGGTGAAGAAATTATCAGTATATTTATCTTGTGCCCTACATCTTTTGGAAGAGTTTCACACAGTTTTACAACAACATCTCCTCCAATGCCAAACACATTTGCTCCTTTATCTCCACCTTTTCCCTGATAAACATCAAAGTCATGAAGGAGTCCATGCACAGAGCAGCTAGCCCATACTTTGAAGCCCCATGGATGCGGCTTACCCCTTACATACTGCCGTATATTCCCAAACTTGCCTTTGTAGGGTATCATCATTTCATCAATGGACTGATGTTCTGCAGGGGTAGTCTGAAGGCACCGAGCTCGGAACATGTCCAGAAATGGTCGAATTTTCCAAAGGCGATCTTTCTTGGTTTCCTCTGACACAGTTTCATTGTCCACAAAATGAATCAGAGAAAGAAGTAGCTGGAATCTATTCCTGCTCATAACTTCTGTAACTGGAGGGTATCTGGTTTCTTTTTCCCAGTACATCCGTATTGAAGGCATCTCAACAAGGCCCATTTTGAAGTACATGCCCTGTACTTGTTCAATTTCTTTCGCAGATGTATTTACACATTTACCCTGCTTTTGGACACTGTATCTGTTAGTACAATCCACTATCAGTTCTATCATATCACAAAGCGCTTGAAGTAAAGTAAGGGTGTCTCTGTTATTCCAGTTGGATCGGTTGGTTCAACTATTTCACCCCTGAAATTGATTTTGGGGTGCTACGAAATCTTTTTTTCGCCATGTATATTTTGTCTTGGTTTTTCCCTTTGTGGCGCTGGCCAATATACGTGCGAGAGGTACATCATCACCACTGGATTCGTCATTCACTTCTGATAAGTGTTCATGGTCACTTTCAGAGTCACTACTCTCTAAATTATCAATATTACCTGGGTCATACACTTCATCTCTATCCGACTCATCACTTGGGCCATCTAGGCTTACATCGCTAGCATCAACATCAATTTCATCTATAACTTGCTCAACAGGAATACAATCTCGCTTACTGCGGCTAGGCCATGATAAACTGAATCATGAAAAAAGAAAACAGACACTATAAATATATATATCTATATTATGTATATTCATATTTTATCTCTGAAAACAGAACCTTTATATTTGACCTAAACTATAAGTCTACACCTCACTTTTTCGGGTCAGTCATATGTGGGACTCTGGGTTTTAGCGGGAAAAAATAATTATCATCAAACATGTCACTAACAATGGGCTTTTCAATACAGTGGGGTCTTAATTTCATGGGGTATAATAGTTTCCCGGAGAATGCAATAGTGTTGGTAATATGTCCACTTGTCGCACTGATTGAGTCGCACATGAACGAATTAAGTAAACAAGGAATTTTGTGTGCTTGTGTGTCTGGTGAACAAGCATGTCAAGACAAGAGTGGTGTACTATACGGCAAATATTCATTTGTTTTTGCCAATCCAGAGAGTATTATCATGAACGAGAAATGGCAAGAAATGCTGCAAAGTTCGATCTACCACGAACATCTATTTGCAGTAGTTACAGACGAGGCACATGTCATTCCAAAATGGTAAGTTGATCTATTGATATTTAAATATTGCTATAAATCAGTGAAATCCAGGAAAGGCAAATATGTGTATTCAACTTTATTATTATCTTTTATTATTATAATAAGATTGGAAATGAGGCTAAATTCAAAATGACTTTAATTTTCTTAAAATAATAAAAATATTGTTGTTATTATTATTTATATTTGCCTACTTACTTAAAATAATAAAAATTACACTACATACAGTATACAATCACATATATGACAACATATATGGACATCATATAAATTGATGTTATTACTGTTGAAGTTGTATATAGATGAATTTTAAAGGTTATCCGAAAATTGTCATTAATTGTCTTAGCTACCCAAGATGAAATCTCAGCCATGGGTTGAACTCGAGCCCATGGCTGAAAAGTTGTCATGTGATCATTTTATCCCATGGATGCAAAAGTTATTTGATTGAGGAATTTTTACATTTTGTTCATATATTTCCCTTTGTTTTTTCCATATGTTACCTGATACTCTAGCACATGCATTAACCCTGGTGCTGAATTTGTCAATTTGTTGAATTTTATTCAACATGGGCTGAATTCAACCACCGGGTTGAAAATGCATTATGTTAAACTAGTCACAATTAATTGGTAATTCCCATTGTCAGTGGTCATTGGTGTATAAAATGCTTTGTCTGTCATAAAAGAATACAATGGATTGCCAATGAATTGCTACTATTTGTTAACCCAGCTTCAACATCAGGATTTCAGCTTGCATGTTTGCAAACATTATTTCAAGGATGGATGTACTGCACGTCGCAGTTAAATGTAAAATAAACTTTATTTCTAAACTATAAACTATAAAATATAAGTTGAAAGTTGTTATAAACGTGTTTTTCGATTCGATTCATGAAACCAACAAAAAGCGTCTCGTTTGCGCATGTCTGACATATTGTTCGCTATGACAAAAATAGCGGCGACAATTTAACCGGTCACAACACTCCCGGGGTTGATCAATAAAATTGATCAATTAAACTAATACTAAATTAATGTTAACGTTAATCAATGTACGTGTCAACGTCCATCACGAACTAAGTTGTCTTCTTACGATTTCGCCAACTACAGCTGCCTTACGTCTCGGTGTTCGTCTTTGTAGTTGGTCGTTATCTTTTATTTCTGTGTTCTGCTGATCCGCACGGCTCTGGACACGGCTGTCGTCCGTCGCACTTGCCTGTACTTCGAGGGGAATCAAATACTGTATTGGTCGCCGTAATGTGATCCGTTTACCGCTTTCACCGTTAACCATAACTTTAGCTGACCGTACTGTGCCATCGCTACTGGGAAGCAACATTTCCACTTTAGCCAATTTCCAAAATGTGCGTCGTGAATTGTCATTCCGTAAAATTACCATATCTCCAACTGCTATTTGCACATTGCTGTTTGGTCGAATCGATTTGAACGATTCTCTTAAACTCAACAAGTATTCTGTTCTCCATTGTTTGATAAACTGGTTTAACTCATTAACGCGCAAGCTGTTACAATGTTTCTACCCCCCTAACGTCCAAGCAATATGGCGAATACGTGACTGAATTCAAGAGCTTTCACCAAAATGGCAATATCTCAGAAACAGTTGCATGAATAAATCTGGTCTTTTCAACCAAATATTATTAATATATGATTGACCAAATTTAGTTTAAATGCTTACAACATGAAATTTAGAACAGTAACTAAGTGTTAAAATTCAACAAAGTGTGCAAGCCAAAACACAGTGCTTGTACATCTTTGGAGTTTTTAATTACCTCAAATATATTTAAAAGGACATACGGTACTAGAATCTATTTGTTTTCAATATAAACCAAGGATGGGAAGGTGAGAAAATAGGAATTTCTGAGGTGTTTTTAACACAGACAATGACAGCCGACATTTTCAAAGGCAAATTTGCGGTGACAAAACCAAAAGTTATTCACTTCTCTACTCAAAGCACTGAAAAACACCATAAAGAGAAAAACATTTTAAACATACATCAGGTAAGCCTTTTAGCTCAATTTTCTCATGTTTCTGTTTGGAAAGAAACAGTTTTTAGCCAAAATTATTTTGCGCGCCAATGTAGGCTGCTATAAAATGTCAGACACGCGTTCTCTTTTGAAGTCTGGCTCTGAAAAACAATCGCTTTTTTTTTAGTTTGAAATAAGCTTTCATTAGGACTAATTGTGTAGAAATGTTATCTGTATGCTCAAATGAAAAAGATAACCTAATATTCAGGTATTCAACATAGCTATAAAAGGGTGAAATAAGGACTTTCATCTTTGGTTGTTTGTCAGACATGAGAAACCACATTAGTGCCATTTTGTTGCGCGTGCTATTTTATAAAATAAACACCTCAAAACCATAAACTTTTAGTTCAGAAAACTACAAAGTTTCCCATAGACATTATTAAAAATGTTCTAGTGAAACCATTTCATGATAAATAAGCGAGCAATGGGCTCGAAAGGACGGCTAAATTATGTTTTTGTTGGGACTTCAGTTTCATGGCTTCCCGCAAAGGAAGCCATTTCAGAGAGAAGCGACAACAACGGCAAACAACCGTCGCGACCTATTTTGATAACTTTTCCTTCTGATTCAACATGTAGTTACTAGAAAATGAGGGTGGATCAACATTACTATCTGCCTTATCGATTTAAAGTTTTATGGGGATATAAAACCCAATACAAAAAGCATTTTAAAAGCTTTAGAACTCAAGTGCGGACTTTTTGAGAATTCGCACGCAGCAACCAAGCGCATTAATTCAATACACTTATTTTAAACCACAATATGTCTGAAACGAGTTGTCATTTTAAGACTAAATTGATGAAAATAGATATAACAGTGATTTTGGAGTACCCTACTTACTTAGTGTAATTTAATACTCGAAGTATTCTTGCCAAATGGGGCACGTACGCACACAGTAATTTAATCTGGTGTCGTTTGAAACATACTTTAGCTAAAATAACAACTTGAACAAGAAGACCAACAATGGGGTTACGAAAACAGTCGAAATTGTGCCCAAATTTGCATAAACAGTTCGTCTAAAAAGATAACTTTAAACTAGATTCAACGAACATTAATGCAGTCGAATTTTGTGAGTGTTTGATCGCATATTTCTACTCAAAAATACCATTTAAAAAATCGTATCTGCTCACTTGTGTTCCGTGTTCATCTTTCTTGTGATTTCCGACTTCTATTTTTAATAAAGTTTGGAGAAATCCTCATCTTTTTGCCTGAAAATCTCGTGCATGGTTCACAGAAAAACTTGGCCCCAAAACGTCAATGCATTCGCTTTCCTTTCATGCCAAATTTTCGTTGTATTTGATTCAGAAACCTCTTCTTTTCTTGCTTTTAAAACTTGCTGTAAAATCTTTCTTTGTAACAGAATCGCCATTATTCATTATTTTTGGAAAACTAAGATTTTAAACTTGAAAAACTTTGCGAGTTTCTGACCGATTTTCTTGCATGATACACCGTTGAAAAGCTCGAATTTCACGTTCTATTTTCGTATCCGTTGCTATGCAACCCGATAAACACGTGCTCAAATATCATGCCCGCAAATTAAGGTGTCATGCCAGGGCGCATTCGGGCGCATTGTCCATTACCCACTTGTCAATCTCAGGGCGCATACGGGCGC